TAACAGAACAATCCCCAATCAATACACCACTCTCAGAATGCAAGATGCGCTGCAGTGTCTGTCAGGAGCCAAGTGGTTTAGCGTGTTGGATCTAAAGAATGGATACTATCAGATTCCCATGCACCCTGGATAACAGGGAGAAAACCACTCTTATTAGTCCACTCTGCTTTTTTCGAATTTGACAGAATGCTCCAGGGACTGTCGGGGGCCCTAGCTACCTTAAAAAGGTTAATGGAGTGCACAGTGGTGATATGTACCTGATTGAGGTCCTAGTGTACTTGGATGATATTATTGTGTTTGTTTGTGCTTTTGTTCTTGTTTGTATTTCTTTTCTATTATTGTGTTTGGGAAGACTTTGGAAGAACATGAAGAGCGGTTAGAGAAGGCATTACAGTGACTTTACGATGAAGGGCTAAAATTGTCGTTAGAAACCTGCCAGTTTTATCAGACCTCCATCACCTGCTTGGAGCACATTTTCTCTGCCAAGGGAGTTGTCACCAATAGAGATGAGCGAATCGAACATGACGAAGTGGAATTCGTTTCGAAGATTAGGAAATATTCAATTCGCGACGAATCCGAAGATTAGCAAACTTCGGATGCACGAATCGAATTTTCCCAAAAATGGCGGCGACGGAGCGGGGATCTCTGGGAAGGCGCGCAGACAAGGCGCGCTGACCCATAATGCATTCATTCATGACATGTGATCGCATTAGCCAATCAGCAGCCAGCCAGCCAGCACTGTGTAATGGTGGAGCTATAAATCGCGGCCATCTTACAATTCTCCATTTGCCTCCGGTCATTCAAGAGAGACAGACATCTCTGTATTAGGGACAGAGTTAGGGCCACAGAGACTTTAGGGACACAGAATCGTTACTCAGGGACACAGAATTGTTACTCAGGGACAGACACAGAATTGTTACTCAGGGACAGACACAGAATTGTTACTCAGGGACACAGAATTGTTACTGAGGGACACAGAATTGTTACTGAAGGACACAGACACAGAATTGTTACTCAGGGACACAGAATTGTTACTCAGGGACAGACACAGAATTGTTACTCAGGGACACAGAATTGTTACTCAGGGACAGACACAGAATTGTTACTCAGGGACAGACACAGAATTGTTACTCAGGGACACAGAATTGTTACTCAGGGACAGACACAGAATTGTTACTCAGGGACACAGAATTTTTACTGAGGGACACAGAATTGTTACTGAGGGACACAGAATTTTTACTGAGGGACAGACACAGAATTGTTACTCAGGGACAGACACAGAATTGTTACTCAGGGACAGACACAGAATTGTTACTGAGGGACACAGAATTGTTACTGAAGGACACAGACACAGAATTGTTACTCAGGGACACAGAATCGTTACTGAGGGACACAGAATCGTTACTCAGGGACACAGAATTGTTACTCAGGGACACAGAATTGTTACTCAGGGACACAGAATTGTTACTGAGGGACACAGAATCGTTACTCAGGGACACAGAATTGTTACTCAGGGACAGACACAGAATTGTTACTCAGGGACACAGAATCGTTGAATTAAAGAGTATGTCAGACAACACGCAGAGGAGTGGCAGAGGAGGCAATGTTTCAGGAGCGAGCAGACGTGGCAGCAGAGGAAGGGGTCGAGGCAGCACTAGTCGCAGCCAGAGGCCAGTGCTCCCGGTGTCATCCAGCGGTAGTGTCTCCACCGACAACCGTGTCATCATCGATTGGTTGGCTCGGTCGTCTTCCTCTTCCCAGGTCACCTCTGACACCTACAGCCAACGGTCGGTGGGTACGTCAGACACAACCGTTAGTTGGCATGGCCCGGGAGCAAGCTCACTGAAATCACGTGTCCTCTACCTGCCCCTGTCCTTTGGTGTTCCCTCACCAAGCGAAGTATCGCATGCTGTGGGCTCAGCCCCACTGTACAGTGAGGAAGAGCTAACAGAGGGCGGTCAGGAATGGGGGGAGACATCTGCCTCTTCAGCAGCCAGGCGAAGAAGTACTGGCGAGGAGAGTGGCTCGGTAGCCGGTCTAGATACAGGTCTGTCTCCTGACCCACACGCAGTCGAGGGGGCTAGTAGTGAGGCGGAGACCCTAATTGATGATGATGAGGCTGATCGCACTTGGCAGCCTCGTCGTCATCAGGCTATTGCTTCCGCATCATCAGGAGAAGAGGGTGCCAGCTTGGCAGCGAGCAAAACAGTTGGTGGGTTGCCCAGGAGGCAGCAGGGTCGCAGCAATGTCAGTGGAGGAAAACGGCCACGGAGTAGAGCACCAGCTCCACTGCAGCCTACCACCACGGCCAGTAGTGGTGCCGGTGTGCACGGAGGAAGTAGCAGTCAGCCAGTGAGGAGTAGCGGGGGCAAAGTTTCCTACTCGGCGGTGTGGCAATTTTTCAACAAGCCGCCCGAGGAAGTAAACATAGCCGTATGTCAACTATGTGGCCAGAAAGTCAAGCGTGGCCAGGGGGCCCATGTTGGGACTACAGCGTTGCGTCAGCATATGCAGCGTCACCATTCGGTGGCCTGGGAAAACCGTGATAAAGATACGGCGGTTCTGCCTGCCCCAGCCCCCGCTCCATCACCCGCTCCATTACTTGCTCCGTCACCCGACGTCAATCGCCCTCTATCAGCCAGTCAAGGCTCCAACACCTCTGCTGAGGGGAGTTGTCGCTCGTTGGCATCTTCCGCTCGTTCAGATGCTCCTTCTCCTGCTACTCCTCTTCACGGATTCCGTCAGCAGTCTTTCTTGGAATCCGTTTCCAAGAGACAACAGTTTGCGAGCACGCACCCGACGGTGCAGAAGCTGAACGTCCTCCTGTCCAAGTTGCTGGTGCTGCAGTCCCTCCCTTTCCAAGTGGTGGACTCAGCACCTTTCCGAGAAATGATGGCTTGTGCCGCGCCGCGGGTGGAGAGTGCCAAGCCGGCATTTCTTCGCCAAAAAGGCAGTGCCAGCCCTGCATTCACATGTAGAAGAGATGGTGGGCCAGTCTTTGAGCATGTCGGTCTCTGCCAAAGTGCACGGCAGTGCCGACGTGTGGAGCTGTAACTACGGTCAGGGACAGTACATGTCATTTACGGCCCACTGGGTGAACGTGGTGCCGGCACAGTCGCACCAGCAACTTGGACAGGTCACGCCGATTTTGCCTCCACGTTTGCACGTCCTTGGTCCGGCAAAGAAGTCCGCCTCTACCACCTCTTCTTCCGCCGTGTCCTCAGCCGCCACCCCCGTGCCAAGTCCCATTACCCGACCGGCATATCACATGTGCAGGGCGCAACGGTGTCACGCTGTGCTGCACCTGGTATGCCTTGGCGAACGTAGTCACACAGGTGAGAAACTTCTGAGTGTAATGAACAGAGAAATCGACAGATGGCTGTCTCCGCGCAAACTGAAAATCGGAACCATGTTGACCGACAACGGAAAGAACATGGTGTCTGCTCTGCGTCAAGGAAGGTTGTGCCATGCGCCATGCATGGCTCACGTGTTCAACTGGTTGTCAAGCGGTTCCTAAAATCCACCATCCCACTGCAAGACATCCTTAAATGTCACATAAACTTTGGATGCATTTCAGCCATTCCTACACCGCAAAGCACACCCTCCTTGAGCTGCAGCGGCAGAACGGAATTCCACAGCATCGCCTGATCTGCGACGTTGCAACAAGGTGGAATTCAACCCTACATATGTTAGACCGCCTTTACGAACAGCGAAAGGCCATCACCGATTTCCTGATGTTACAAGCGGATAAAGGTACTCCCCTGTGTAACTTAGATGTCAGCCATTGGCAGCTCATGTGTGACACCTGCCGCTTGCTCAGGCCCTTTGAGGAGGCCACGCTATTCGTGAGTCGGCAGGACTATGGGATGAACGACGTCATTCCTCTGTTTCACGTCCTGGAACAAATGCTGTTAACAATGGCTGGTCAGGGTGCGGTAGACGTGGCGCACAGATCTCAACGCCACATGACCCCTGTGGGGGCAGGACAGGAAGAAGAGGAGGAGGTAGAGGAGGACATTGGTGCTCAGGAATTATTGAGTGAAATGGGTGGTTTTTCCACTCAGCGGACAGGAGTGGAGGAGCAGGAGCATCTGGTAGAGGAGGAGGAGGAGACAGAGGACCCAGATGCACCGTGGCAGTATGCTGTGGAGATGGAGGCAGGGAGTCCCTCGCATTCCTTGGCACAAATGGCCTATAGCATGCTCGGTTGCTTGCGTAGCGACAGCCGAATAATAACCATCAGACAGAGGGATGACTTTTGGCTGTCCACCTTGTTGGACCCTCGCTACCGTTCAAAAATGGTGGCCTTTTTCACACCTGCTGAGAGGGAGGCCAAAATAAATTACTATAAAAACCACCTATGTAGTCAGTTGGTCTCTGCCTTTCTGCGCCAACGTCCATCCTCAGACACTGTGGGCCCTGTGCGCTCGCGTTCCGCTGCCATGGCAGCAGGGGAGGGGTGGGGTGGTAGGAGCAGTGGCAGCTCCACCAGCAGCGGCTGCCTCAGTCTGCAGTCGATGATGAGTAGCTTTCTTCACCAGCGCAGTGAGGAAACTACTAACCAGAGGCAGCAGCAGCAGCATCAGGTGGACCTGGAGCAGGACCTCAAACAACAGGCTTGGGCCTACTTGGACAGCACCCTGCCAACCGAGGTAGACAATCCCCTTGACTACTGGGCAACGAAACTTGACCTTTGGCCCCAACTAGCTGAATTTGCCCTTGAAAGGCTGTCATGCCCGGCCAGTAGCGTGGCATCGGAGCACGTGTTTAGTGCGGCAGGAGGTATTGTAACTCCGGAGGACATGACTGTCCACCCAAAGTGTGGAGAGACTCACGTTTGTGAAAATGAATCAGGCGTGGATTAGTCTGGATTTCAAACCACCAGTTCCTGACACAACTGACTAAATCCGCCATGAATCATGCCCCAAACATGTTATTATTTTTAACATAGGCCTCTGTATGGCCTTCAATTTAAGCTGCTTACGCTTCGCCACTCTGCCATGGGCCCCTGTACCGCCTCCTCTTGCTGCTGCCAGGTCCAGAGTGTCTCATGGGTCCCTGTACAGCCTCCCATTGCTGCTGTCTCCATCGCCACACTCTGCCATGTGCCACTTTCAGGTCTCCTCACACTGCTGGTGGGTTCCATTTTGTCATAGGGTGCTGGCAGATTACGGGCCTCCCATTGCTGCTGCCAGGCCCGTAATCTGCCATGGGCCCCCGTACCGACTCCTCATGCTGCTGCCAGGCCCGTAATCTGTCATGGGCCCCTGTACCGCCTCCTCATGCTGCTGCCAGGTCCAGAGTGTCTCATGGGTCCCTGTACGGCCTCCCATTGCTGCTGTCTCCAGTGCCACACTCTGCCATGTGCCACTTTCAGGTCTCCTCACACTGCTGGTGGGTTCCATTTTGTCATAGGGTGCTTTATGGCCTCCCATTGCTGCTGCCTCCACCGCCACACTGTGGCTCCACACTCTGGTTTTGGCCCCGTGACTGCCCAAATGAGTGAAGTGTGCGGTGATTCTAAGATCGACGGCACTCATCTGCATGTCATACTGACTGACAGTATTATTTCTCTTCCCCAGCAGACTCCAAGGACATTTAAATTAAAGGTACAGTGTTCTGCACTAATATAAAGGCTCTCTGAAGCCTAGAAACACCCTTTTTATAAGTTAAATTTGCAGCGAATATATTCGCCTCAAATCGAATTTATTCCTCGAATTCGCTGAATCAGTCGAATCGAATTTTTGAATACTTCGCTCATCTCTAGTCACCAACCCAAGCAAAAACAGAGGCTATAACCACATGGCCTCGATCCAAAAATGTAACAGAACTGAGATCATTCCTCAGTTATATGGATAATATGAACAGATTATCACACATTTGTGGAAGAATTTGCAAAGACAGATGCCCCTCTAACTGAGCTGCTGAAGAGTAGTCAGGAGGGTATCTGCGGCACAGCCAGGACTCGGCAGAGAAAGGGCCCCAGAAGACATTGTGAGCCCATCAGTGGGCAATGGACTGGGCAGTGCAAACAGGAGTTTCACAAGGTGAAGGAGTGCCTGAACCAAGCCATAGTGCTAGCTTATGCGGAACCATCAAAACACTATGAGCTGCATGAGGACACTAGTCAAGAAGGTCTAGGAGGCTTATTATATCAGGAACATGATGGACAACTACGACCAGTGGCTTTCATGAGTAGAAGCTTCTCGCCTGCTGAGAAGTATTACCCCACTCACAAGCTAGAATTCCTTGCCTTAAGGTGGGCAGTAGTAGACAAGTTTAAATACCACCTGCTCAGAGCTGAGTTCAAAGTAAATATGGAAAATAACCCTCTGACATACGTACTAACCATAGCCAAGCTGGATGCCACGGGACCCAATGGCTAGCTGCACTCTCAGGGATACGTTTCAAGTGAAGTACCACCCTAGAGTAGGAAACTAAGATGCTGTTGTGTTGTCTCGAAGACCTCATCAAGCTGGAGTTCATGAATCTGAGCCAGGGGGCTTAATATGGTGTTAAAAGAATAGCCTATACTGAGGTTGTGAGGGTCCATGCTACCAGTATTCCCCAGTATTACTTCAGTATGTCTCAGTTGAACGGGGAGGAATTACCTCAACTTCAAGGGATCGGCAAGAAGCTCCAGATTGAAAATGAACTCTGCCAGCTCACCAGAAAGGCACTCTTGAAGAAGAAAGCTAACATGCTTTTGGTGGACGATCCACCACATACCCAAATAGTCCATATGGAATGAAGTCCTTTACAATTACACGCATGGCGGTTGTTTCTATCCACTCAATACAATAATGTGGTACCAAAGTCTTTGCATAATAATCATGGCCACCTAGGGCTGGAGAGAACGTTCCAGCTAGTGAGGGACTGATTCTACTGTCCTCACATGGGAACCGAAGTAGAAGAATACTGCCAAACTTGTATGAGCTGAATGTATGAGCTCGCAGTCGCTCATCAACACTTCGTTGATAGAGGCAAATTATAAGGTCGTCCTGTGATGTTACATGGTACCTCTATGGGTGGTGCCCTGTGTTCCAGATGCCTCACCCCTTTGCTTTCATGGCTGTGGCCAGGCTGGGACAGTGCTCCATGTTTGGTGGTTGTGTCGGAAAGTCCAGCGGTTTTGGATACGCACATACAACTTTATCTATTCTCTCACGTAGATGAATCCCAGGAAAAACCCTCAGCAGGCCCTACTCGGTAAACCAGTGGAGGAGGCACCAAGACCTGTGCGTCGGTTAATAATATTGATTTTTACGACAGCTAGAATTTCCATTGCACGGTCTTGGAAGTCTCCTGTGATTCCGTTCTACCTTTTGATTGCCAAACTGACATGTATCATGATGAATGAACACCTGTCGATGATTCTTCAAGATAAGATGGCCCTTTTTGAAAGGATTTGGGACCCATGGATTAGATACCTATCGAGTTCTCAGTGAATTGGGACCATCTACCTACCCGAGAGGTGAGGAGGGCGTGCCTCCACTTTCTCTTCTCCCCCCCCTTTTTCCTCTTTTGTTTTCCTCCCATTTTTCTATTCTTTCCTTCTGCCTGTCATTCCACTTTTTTTTATTATTGTTGTTGTGGAGCTCATTGTTGACATATCACTCCATGGTGGGCCTTTATGCACTGTTAGGTTGTTATTGCTGTGCCTTTACCTATGTTGGTCATACTGGAATGTGCCTATGTCTTCATTTAGGGAAATGTTTCATGTTTTTGTTTTCCTCTCTTCCTCCCGTGTATTTCAAGGAGGTGTTTGTATTTGATTGAAATTAATAAAAATCTATTGGGGCGTGTCCAAGATGGCGATCGGACAAGTCGCCTGACCTGGAGCTCCGGCGGCTCATCTCCTTTCCCACCGGCATCCAGGTCGTATCAGAGGGCGGGGGTGAGTGTGAGACTCACCCGTCCCTGCGGCATCCCTGCTGGGCAGCTTCGGGCGCTGGTGGCGCCACTCGGAGGCGGCGACTCGGTGCGGCCTTGTTGCGGCCGGGTGGAGCCGCGGAGTCCTCCGGCTCACATCGGGTCGGTCAGCGGTGACATAGCACGTGGTGCAGAGGTGGGAAGGGGGAAGGCTGGTCACCCCCCCCCTTCCACTCGTTCAGTGAACGGTCTGCTTGTCTTCCCTCTGTACCGGACGGGACGACAGGAGCATCAGTGTCACCCTCCCTCCCCCCATATGTGATACAGGGGCAGTGTGGAGTAGTGAGGCCTAGTGAGCTCAGGACCTCTCCCATCAGCGTACAGGCTGAGTACGTTCCCAGTCAAGGGAGGATCATCGCACAAGTGCATACTCCTTCTCCCACAGAGAACTGCCAGCACTTCACGATCCATTGGGACAAACCCCACACAAACCCAGGAAACATCGGCATATTGTAGAGGCCTTGCTACAGCCCTTACAACAGGGAGCTGTGCTGAGGATAGGCATATAGAAGACATCCCATACAGATTCATATAAGGGGAAGGCAGTGGTAATCCCTGTATCCGCACGTCCACACAGCAGAAACCATTGTCCCCCCTGTTTTGCCTATCCTTTCCTGCACGCTGAGGCATATAGTGCTATTTTGGGCCTGTTATAAATTACCTTTTCTCATTTTCACATACCTGTTCTGGGGGATCCAGCTTGACCCCAAAGAAAATGGCAATATAATACCGTGAGCCTTGACACACGTAGGTGGGGCTACGCAATCATCACAGAGAGGCGCCGCAGACATGGGGAAGGCAGACAGGAAAGCTACAACTCCTCGCCGTACAGGTGGTCCTGCTAATCGCAGTATCCCGGAACTATTCCGGTCTCACACTCCGGATCACGCAGAATCCTCCTCTATTGCATCACCATTACATTCGCTACAAAGGAGACTCCATCACAGTCTATGAGTTTGACAACAGCTGCCACAACTGGTCATTCCGAACCTCCCCCTCTCACCAGCGGGGATTTGAAAGCGGTTGCATCAGATATTAAAAGGGACTTTTTCAGCGGCAATAGCTGAGCTACATATCGACATGCAGGCAGTGGCTCATAGGCTGGACGCAGTAGAGGATAAAGTTAGTATGCAAGGCCTTGCTATTCATGAGGTGCGCAAGCAGGTTGACACGCACACCATGCACCTAAGAGAGCTCAATCGTCATATTGAGGACTTGGATAATAGGGGAAGACGACATAATTTAAGGGTGCGCGGTGTACCGGAAGCAATAGAGTCTGGCCAACTCGCCCAAGTTCTTTTATCCATCTTTAATGATCTTTTAGAAAGACCGCATGAATCTCCAATTGAGATCGAACGTCTCCATAGGGCCCTACGTCCCAAAGGCAGAGACACTGACCCACCGAGAGATATAGTTTGCTGCCTAGTCGACTTCCGACTTAAAGAGGAAATATTACGCAGAGAGCGGGACAAACAGCGCTTGTTTTACCAGGAAACGGAAATTAAATTATTTCAGGATCTCTCCCATCTCACCCTGCAACGCAGGAAAGACCTGCGCCCCTTACTAGATCTACTTCGCTCTAAAGGTATCGCCTACCGTTGGAAGTTCCCGTTTGGTCTTGCTGCAACACATATGGGGAGATCAGCTCTCATGAGATTTCCGGAAGATCTTGCACCATTCTGTGAAACCTTGAATATCCCTTTACCGGATATACCTAACTGGTCCAGTGAATCTTCTTTACAACTGCAGTTAGATGAAGGCCCCATGGAGGCACAACCCGCTGGCCACTCAACCGGAGGTATGAACAGGAGCCAGGCGCTGTGTAGTTTTGTGAACGGTCTCTTGACGAGACTTGACAAAGCGCATGCGCGCAAAACATGTTGTCCCAGCAACCGGCCTCTTCCTTCTAAAGCTGCGGCTCCAGCAAGAGTTCCCCCCCTCTGTCTCTCCACATCGTGGTGACGTCATCCAGGACGCTGGGACGTCGGGTAAACGTGGTCCCTGCACTGACAGGCATTCTACTCCACTGCTTCCCTCTGAGCGGACGGGCCGTCCATCTTGGAACCTGGCTTCCTAAAGCCACAGGCTGGTTATTTATTATTGTTTTACCATATGACTTATTAAAGACACACCTCCATACAAGGTGTATTATTTCTATCACAAAACTACACAGCGCCTGGCTCCTGTTCATACCTCCCACAAACCGATGTGTTTTTACCATGGCAGCAGTGAGTTTTTTCCCCACCAATCATAGTTGACATATACCATTCACTTATTTCCTTTGGGACACATCTGTGCGCTTTTATCCAGACCACTCAACCGGAGACAGACGCAAATCTTCACACCAAGCTTCAACTTCCCCGGTACGAAGAAGGCTTATTACTGGTGACAGTTTACCAGCATCGCCTGCACACCGCAAGGCGCGCCATGAATGACCTTTCCCCGTTTTTCATATATATATTCATGCTCATGAGTATAAACACCCCCACAATCTGAGGCTGTTTTACTAGTGAGTCGAGTAGGTTTCGTTATTTTTTATCCACGGTTCCTCTACATGACATACCTAACATCACCTGTACTCCTCAAGGGTATGTGTATCGCATCAAATTGTCAAGCTTCATATATGTAATATGTATCAGTCATATATATTCGTCTTGTAGACATGTAAGTGCCGAGGTATCCTCATTTGTGATATGGAAGA